GTCTACAGAGTGAGTTCTAGGACAGCCAGGACTGTTTCACAAAGAAACTCTGTCTCAAAACACAAACAAACAAATAAAAAAGAATAGCACACAGTAAAAAGATAATAAAAGAATGTTTAAAATATATGAAACTTTTAGAAAATTTAAAAAGTGTAAAATAAAGTGACAGATAAATTAACGAATAAACTAGACCTAGATGAAGAGAAAATAAACAAATTTAAAGATGGATCTGAGGGAATCAGCATAGGGAAGGGACAGTGGGTGTGATGGTTGTTTGTGATGTTACCTGGTCTTTGTGACCTGTTATTGGTCAGCCATAAGCTCGGTATGGGGAGAATGGAGGAAGAGGAGGCAGAAGAACCAGTAGGACATTCCTGAGAAGGGCTTCAAGGCTGGGCTAAGGTTCCTGGATTTGTCTTAGAGCAATGGGGAGCCAGGAAAGGACTTGCGAGCAGGGCAGTCCCCGAAGTTCACGCTGTTACCTAGTGCAGGAATGGATGGCAGAGGAGGCTGGAGGCTACACAGGGCTTGAGTTTGTGGGGCCACAGGAAGTGGGGTAGGATTGGAGGAAGAGATGGCTCAGACTGAAACTAGACAGTGTCTTGCTCCTCTTCCATCTTGATCAGCCCAGCAACACACTCTGCTCTAGCAGACTTAGGTTCCACAGGCAAAGCTGCGCAGCCCCACAGCCACCGTCCCAGAGACTGCTGTCCAAAGGAGGCCCAAGAAGCCACCCACCTGTGGCTGGAGAGGCCAGCCCACGTTCTCTGTCCAAAGTAGAGCGTAAAGAGGGCAGTGGTGGATTCTTCCTGTCTGAGGGCTGAATGTGGAGAGATCCCAGATGCCACCAGTGGAGCCATGTATGTCCTGTGTCTACCCCGTTGGCTAGGGTGGCCTGGGTTGTGCCTGGATGGCAGAGGCTGCCCACATCTGTCTGAGCTTCCTCCCTGCCCACAGGATGTGGAGGGTTGTGTGTCTTCCTGAAATAGCAATCAGCTGGAATTTGGACTGGGGAAACATAGCCCTGATTCAGCCAGGCCAGGCAGGGGCAGGAGATAGACTCCATGGTCACAGCGACTCCCCTAGCAACCACCCTTGCTGTCTCCTACTCTGATGCCACTTTCTCTGGTCAGGAAGGTCCCATGTATAGTGAGCGTGGCATCTCCTACCATGGATAAGGATACAGTTGTGG